CTCTCTCCTCCTTATCCCTCTCTCCCTCTCTCTCTCCTTCTCTCTCTCTCTCCTTCCCTCCCTCTCTCTCCGCCTTTCACATGATCAAAATAAGTAAACTTTAAACATGCAAAGAAAAAAATGGACTCTCTGAGCCCCAGTTTCTTCACCTGTAAAAATGGGGGTGGTAATAGGACCTCGCTTAAAGAGGACTGTGAAGTTTAAAGGAAATAATAAAAGTGAACTGCTTTGTACCACACTAGGAATCTTGTCAACAACTCATCCACGGCAGTGCTGTTGTTACCATCACTTCCATCACGGCCACAAGCTTTGCCTTCGTAGAACATACAGCAATAGCTCCCAAAGCCACCCTGGCCCACACTAGGAAATGTGCGTGCCTTCCTCATTTTATCCTCGCTGGGTAGACAGCAGACCCAGGAGGGGAAGTGATCTGGCCAGTGACTTACAGCAAAGTGTTCACTGCTGTAAATCCAGTCACTTCCACCATCTGGTAACGAATGATGACGCATCCCCCAGGCCCCATGTCACCTCTTCCTTCAGAGGGCTTCGGGTCAGCCTGACCTGCGCCACCTGAGGTCACAGCCACAGGTCCATAGCTTGTTGGAGCAGAAATGGCCCATGCGTGGACAGCTCCCAGCCAGGTACACTGGAACAACACGAGGCACACAAAGGCAACGTGGAAGAAACAGGGACAGTCCCTGACTTGTGATGGCTCAGCTCACAACGTTTTCAACTTTGCAGTGGTATGGAAGCATGCCAGAGCAACCATTCTATTTTTCTCTCAGTACAATAGTCAGTAAATTACATGAGATACTCAGTACTTTCTTATAAAACAGGCTTTGCCATAGGTGATTTTGCCCAACTGGAGGTGAAAGTAAGTATCTGTTTAATGCAGGCGAGGAAACCATGACACTTTGTGCGTCAAGTGTACCTAATGCAATTTTAACTTCGTGCTATTTTCCCCTTGTGACGGGTTTGCTGGGTAATAACCTCACTGTGAGATGAGGGGCATCTGTACAGCAAGGGTAAGGAGACAAGCACAGTGCTCTCTGTTTCTCTGGGAAGTAGACTCATTTCCGAATCAGCATCTCCACATTCAACAGGGGAGGCTCAAGTCCTGCCTTCTGTGCGCACCCAGCCAAAGCCACGGACCCCAAGGGCAGGGACACGCGGAGTCAGGTTCCCTCTGTCGCTTCCCTCCTTCCCCTTACTCATCGCCCCAGACCAAGAAAGTAGGGTAAGCCCCATGGAGGTCATGACCTTCTTACAGGCCACGCGAAACAGCTTGGAAACTCAAGGTCCCAAGGCCCAGCCATTCTGCAGCCAAGTCTGCCTGAGGCTGTCTCCAGATGTTACCATCCAGGCTAACACAATGGTCTATTGCCACCTCACCTGGTACAGACCCAGAGGCAGTGCTGACAGTGACAAGGGGACACCATGGCCAGGACACAGGACCAGGGGCTCCCTGGCCTGGGCCAGTGGTAGAAAGGTTGGCTCCAGGGCCCAAAGGCTGGGAGTTCTCTGAAATTCAGAGTGGCAGAGGAATGGGATATATCGCAGACCAGTGTTCTCTCAATATAAAACCATCGGTCTAAATGAGCCAAAAGATTGGCCTGGGAAAATTTCAGGGGCAGGCCCTAGAATCCCAGAGTCCCTGAGATAAGGAGTGACCCTCATGGAGCCTCTTATCGGGCTAGGGTTTGACTACATTCAGAATGTACCCCACAAGCAAGAACACTGTTCTGAGCCTCACTGTCCTGATCTAAGAAATGGGCACTTCACCACCTGCCCACAGTCCACAGTGAGTCTTCCCTGGGACAACGCAGCTGAGGTGCTAGGCGGAGACAGAGGCCACCCGAGCAGTCAGTGGCAGCTGGACTCCTGTTGCAGTTCACCGGGTTAAGGCACTGCTTTCACCACTGGCATTCCATACTGGAGTGCTGGCTGGACACCCAGCTACACTGCTTCTGCTCCAGCTTCCTGCCAATGCACCTGGGAAAAGCACTGGAAGATGGCCCAAATGCTTGGGCCCCTGCCACTCACAGGGCAGATGCAGCTGGAGCTCCTGACTCCTGGATTCAACCTGGACCAGTCCTGGCCATGGTGAGCATCCGGGGAGTGAGCCAGCAGATGAAAGATCTGTGTGTGCGTGCGTGCGTGCGTGTGTGTTTGTGTGTGTGTGTGTGTGTCTCCTTCAAATAAATACATCTACAAAAAGAAATTAGCGACAGCAATGGAGCTCCTCCCTTCCTGGTGTGGAGCCTGCTCTCCACTTTGCTCCTGTCCTTTGCTAAGGGGTGGCAGTGGTAAGTGAGCCCTTGGGGTTCCAGCTAACACTTGGGTTACACACTCATCCTCCCACTGAGACTCAAGCACTCTGTTTTGCTCTGGGAGATTAGAAAACAACCTGTCTGCTGACAGGGAGCAGAACTGGCCAAGGGGCGGCGGTGCTCTGGGGCCTCTTCCTGCTCGGAGCTGCTTTGTTACCAAGGACCTGCTCAGCCCCCAGGCGAGCAGCAAAGCCCTGGCTCTCGGGTGGGACCAGCTCGGGGGAGCAAAGCCGGTTGCCTCAGGGACTCCTCAGCAGGCTCTGCAGCAGGGGCAGGTGTCCAAATGTGCAAGTCTGTGGTTTGCTTGCTTTTAAAGTATTCTTTTAAATTTTATTTATCAGAAAGAGAGAGCGAGAGCGAGAGCGAGAGGGAGAGGGAGAGAGAGAGAGAGAGAGAGAGAGAGAGAGAAAGCTCCCATCTGCTCATTTGCCTCCTAAACGCGCACAGGGCTAGGGCTGAGCTAGGCCAAAGCCAGGAGCCTAGAACTCAGTCTGAATGGAAGAGAGCCAGTTATTTGCGCCATCGCTGCTGCCTCCCTTGGTTAATGTGGGTAGGAAGCTGGAGTCAGGAGATAGAGCTGGGTATCTACTGAAGCCAGGCCCTGGGATGTGGCGTGCAGGTGTCTTAACTGCTAGGCTGACAATCCACCCCAGGTCTGATGTTTCTACTTCAGCCACAACTAAAGAGCAGAGCGGTGCTCAGACCAACACGGAGGTGGCCGTGCCAACACTCACTCATACAACGGCCAGGCCCAAGGACAGATGGTGGCTGCTTTGGCATTAGGCCAAGGTAATTCCAAGCCCTTTTGGGGCTATGGGAAAGCATGGGGTGGGGGTGGGAGGGCAGGCAGAGGTGAAGCACAGGGCATTGAGCCATGGCAGCCCAAAACTATCACGAGGCCAGAGGCTGTAACGCTACGAGGGACAGGATGCTAGTGACCAGCATCAGGACTGCTGCTGTTTGTTAGGCACTGACTGTGTGCCTGGCACTCTGCCCAGAACCTGAAACGCATGAGCTTGTCTAAGCCTCCCAACCACCCAGGAGATGGCTCTATGATTTTCTCCCACTTTACAGATGTGGAAACTGAGGCTTGGAGAGGCCCTTTTAACTCAGTCGACATCAGGCACACTGCTGGACAGCAGCAGAGCCACCAGGCATCCCCATCCCGGGCCCATGGCCCCAGCCATGACATCGACTCACCCCATTGTCACCACCCTCTCCTGTCCTTGTCCTCCAAGCCACTCTGACTGCCACGCAGGCCCACCCCATTTCTGGTCTCTGTGACAGTGATTTGTCTCGACAACTTAATAAATTGGCCTTTGGTGTGGACCTGAGTGTCGTGGTGCTATTTTAGTTTGCTCGATGCAGAGGCTACACACCCAGGGCGCGGGGACAAGGCGCTCTCTGGCTCTCCTAACTCACATCCACAGGCCTCTTCCGGTCCAGACCCTCAGCTGTTTCCTGCAGTGGACGTGCTACGCACATTTATGGACCGAACCACACACACAGCTGGCCCCAGCCTCGCTGACCAGCTGGATGGTGGGCATTATGCGGTCCTTTTTCCAGAAAGACCATGGCCACGCTCTCCCCCAACAAAGCTGAAGAACTCTGGGGCAAAGGTCACAACAGAAACCCTGCAGGTAAGGAGACATCCCGCCGGGTCCTTGAGGGGTTTGGGCGTGGACCACGCCTGATGCTTAAGCTTGAGCTCCCCACAGTGAGAAGCACCAGAGTCAAATCCCAGCTCGACTGCTCCATCGCAGTGTGGCTCCAGGCAAGTTCTCTAACCTTCCCGAGACGCCTGTTCCTCATCTGGGCAACAGGATTAACCCCGGTGCACAGCGGATTAATCCAAGTGCCAGGCGAGGTGCTCAGTGTGGGTGATTAGTCCAAGCTGCTCTGCAGTAAACATTCCTTAGCATTCACTGGAGCACAGGCAGCATGGCCAGCCTGAGGCTGTATCAGGGGTCAGGGGTTACTTCTCCCACATTCTAGCAGCCGAGCCATGAAAGCCACTCTCTTAGCTGACGGACCAGCAGGGCTTCATTCAGGGCCCCGGCTCTGACCACCTCTCTGCCTGTTCAGCAAAATGAGCCTCTGGGCAGAGAAGATTAAACGCCTTCTTAGTCCTCAACCCTTGATCACCAGGAAGTTCCATTTCCACTCCGAGTAATAACCACTCTGTCTCCCGCAGAAATTCGTGAGCACAGAATGCAAACCACCCCGGGCCATGCTCAGCCCGCAGCCCACTTTGAACCCAAATATGTCTCTGAGATGTACAAGTCGTGGGTGCTGACCTGAGCTGGGGTAAAATACACAATTTAATCACAAATGCCGTAACCACAGTGGCCAAGAAAAAAAAAAAAAAAAACGTGGCGAGGCAGCTGAGGGACCGGGGGGGGGGGGAGGGAGGGTGGATGCTCCTTGGATGGGCTGCATCCTTGCTTCCCTCTGCAGGTAGAAGAGCAGGACCTGCGGACGCCTGACAGCAGCCGGCCCACCTCCTGAGTGCCAGTTACGCCCCCTTCAAAACCACCGAAAGGGGCGTGCGTGGCGCAGGCGGGAGATGGGCGGGCGGATGAGCTGCATCAGTGATCAGCAACCTCTTGACGAGCCCTGCGGCACCTGGCGCGGAGGGTAGCAGGTGTCGGGGCGGCGCCCAGGACTTACTTGCAGAGAAGCTGGCCTCGGTGTGGACAGGAGGGGTGGAGGGCAGGAAAGGCGCGTGTCCCACGAAGAAGGAGCGCAGCGAGCGCTCGGCCAGGAGCGGGGAGCGCTGCTGGGAGGGGATGTTCTCGCAGCTGCCCACACTGCTGTGGATCTTGAGGTTCAAGGGCTTGCTCTTCTTCTTGGCTCTGGAGAGCAGACAGAAAACAGAACGGGAAATGGATCCACAAGTGCAGAGTCAGAGCAGGGAGACCCAAGGGATCCAAAGCTCACGGCAAGAAGCTGGGCTTTTTGGTCAAGGGGAAGGGGCTGGGTAGTGGGCTTTTGCCCCTCGCCCCCTGTGGAAAGCCCGTCCCACCATGGAGCACAGAGAAGAGCCATTCGTGTTTGCTCAGCTCCCTGGAGACGCTCTAAAAAGCCAGGGTCAAGTTCAGCTTCCAACTGCATCCCTCACGTCTGTCTGCATATTCTGAGTGCCCTGGGCCCCCCAGCCCTGACCCAAGGCCAAAATGCTCTTTGTCTGACCAAGGCAGCAAACCGCAGGCAGACCACAGGTGTGTCTGGAAGTCTGTGTCCAGCTGGCATTCACCCCCTGAGCATTCCAGTCCCCAAATCCACTGCCCTTCCTCCACACGCAAACGATCAACCCACTTCTGTAGAGGTTAAACTGATGACTTTCAAGAGTCCCTGAGGAGAGAGAAACTTAGTCTTTGGCAGAATCCAGCATCCTTTCTGGAAACTACTTTTTTTCAAAAAAAAATTTTATTTGAAGGGGTGAGGTAGAGAGAGAGAAAAAGGTATCTCGCATCCCCTGTTCCACTTCCCAAATGCATGCAACAGACGGGGCTGGGCCAGGCACCCAGAGCTCCATCCAAGATGCCTACATGGGTAACAGGGACCCAAGTCCTTGAGCCATCACCCACTGCCTTCCAGAGTACACATTAGCAGGAAGGCAGAATCCAAAACAGAGCCAAGACTTGACACCAGGCACTCTGAAACGGACTGCAGGTGCCCCAGGCACACTCTTAGTCAATGCATCCAATGCCTGTCCCAACTGCTGTTTATCAGAACTTCTGGTATTGGGCCCCTGCTTTGGAGCTCACCTATGGCCCTGCCTGGGCCTGCGTTCTGTCCCACTTTAGAGGTGCCAAATGCCATGGGGCACCCAGGGGTGCTGCAGAGGCATGGGGTAGTTGTGAGAGGAGCAGTGCTGCTTGGGGTGGAGGGGCTTACAGCATCCTGAGGCACTCAGCTCTAGAGCCATTCTCTCCAGATTTAAATACTGGCTTCACTATTCTCTGGTGAGTCAGTGAAACTCGGGTGAACTCAGCTCTCTCATCTGTAAGAGTCTTCTGTAGGTTGTGGAGAGGAGTAAAGGAAACACTTGTGTGAGTCACTTGATACTAAGTATCGACATTAGCTGTAACTGTTATTATAGAATTGCCAATGCACCTGAGAGTCCCTTTAAAGAACCAATCTAGAGGTAAAACTACGTGGAACTTCTAGAACATTTGGTCCTACTTTGTGGGACTCTTTAAACCCCAAGGATTAAAGGATCTTCTCTGTACCTCTTGTGCCTAGCAAAATGCCTCACATAGCAGACACTGAAATCTTTCTTGTATGTCCTCAAAATGGCCAAAGAAGGAAGGTGAAAGAAGAGGCCAGGCCAGGAGCCCTCAGCTCCCAGATTTGATCCATGGCTTGATGGCTCAAGCACCTGGACCCTGCCATGTATGTGGGAGACTTGGCTTGAGTTCCAGGGTCCTGGCTTCACTGGCCACGATGGGGATTTGAGGAGTGAACCAGAGAGCTGTCTCTCAGTCTTTGTCTATATGTGTGTGTCTCTACCTTTCAGAGAAAGAAGGAAAGAAGCAAGGAAGAGAAGAAAGGAGGAAAGAAGGGAAGAAGTGGAGGGGGCCAGGAAAGGAAGGAAAGAAGAGATGATAGATAGATAGATAGATAGACAGATAGATAGATAGGCAGAGTTTAAAAAACCCTGTATGCTGAGGCCTCACTACTCCTCCTCCCACCCTCCCTCCAATGCCCATCAGTGTGGCCAGGGGTTGAGTGCCCTCTGATGGCCACTGCAAAGCCTCAGTGCAAATGTTTACAATCCGGTTGGAGAGGGAGGAAAGCTGTTAACATTAAGCCTGAAAGTCATGCTCCCTGGGAGTCCAAGTGTGCCTGAGGCAGGGTGTGGGTGGGGGCCTTGCTGGGCCTGGGCAGCTGGGGCTGCTTATTATCTCCCCAGGGGCCTGCTGGGCGGCTCAGACAGGTGTCTCCTGTTAGAGCAGCTCCCGTAGGCTGATTGTTCCCTGCCCACGGCTGGAGAGATGGGTGCGGGAGAGGGGTGGCGTTCACTCCACAGGCGTGGTCAGCGGTGAAGATTCCAGGAAGCATCCGCACGGAGGCCGTGTAGCTCAGTGAATAAACCCACAGGCTCTGGAGTCCTGGAGATCAGGGCTCCACTACTGATTGTGATCTCGAAACAAGTGATCTCCTTTCTCTAAGCCTCAGACTCCTCACTTGGACAACAGGGAGAACACTAATGCCCCTCACTGATGGTGATCGTGAGAATTCTAGATGTGGGCCAGCACCGAGTGAGGGTTCAGGTGACGTTAAAGACCCAAATCAGACACCTGCTCAGCTATGGAGGTAGCTTTGCAGAAGCCAGAAGTTGAAGCCAAGCTGCAGTTTTCTCTTTAAGCATCCACCAACTCCCTCAATGCCCCCACCCCCACCATGGCAAGTGAAGAGGGCACAGCCGAGCTCTCTGGTAATGGTGCCACTGTGGTGCCTGGAGCACAGTGGCAGTCGCAAGGCAATGAGCCACCAGGAGACAGGGCAAGGTCCTTTCCATGGAGAGTCAAGTCTCACCCAAAACACATTTCATTCAATGACTTCAGAGTCCATCTGCTCTTCCAACTCATGACCACAGATGGAGCAGAGAGGGGCTTGAAAAATAGAGGGCTGGGTGGAAGGAAGGGAAGAAGTGAGGGAGGAAGATAAAAGATGGAAGAATGGGAGGACAGGTGGGTGTCGTGAAAGACAGAATGGAACAGACAAAGGAGTGAGGAAGGTGGGAGCGAGGGAGGGAGGTGAAGGGTCAAAGGATGAAAGGATCTGGGTGGATGGACGGATGAATGCGTGGGTGGGTGGGTACATGATGATGGATGGATGGCTGACTGGGTGAGTGGATGGGTGGGCAGGTGACTGGATGTGTGAAATGAAGGAAGAAAGGATAGTGGCATGGAAATACACAGCAAAGAAAACGGTAGAGTGAGTGAGTACTTGGCCAGAGTAAAGCAGAAGGGAATCTTAGATTGCATTCATGGACAGGATACAGGATTCAGTTTTACCATCTACCCTCACTACCCAGGCATGCTCAGAAGAAAGCAGGCACAAAGGATGTGGGCGTCCACTAAGATTTAGTGGATATTTTGCAGTATATTCTGCAGATGCAATTAAGAAGAACATCTTCTCCCGTGATCTTTGCCAAACATTAGACATCGATTACACAGATGTAGTTTCTGAAAAAAAAACAGCCAATTCTGGGGAGAGCAACAAAACAAGGTGGCAGAGACACTGGAAAATGGCAGCTCGGCGGGTCTGTATCCTGGCGCTTCCTGGCGGGCCAGCAAGCCGGGCTCCCCCACGAGGCAGGCTGTGCTGACAGCAGCCCCAGCACCAGGCTGAGCTGAGTCTGCACATCCACGTTACACAAAGGCACCCAGCCTCGAGCCGCCATCTGTTCCTGCGAAATGCGCTTATTCTGCCAAGCGTACCCGAGGAATCTAGTACAGTGCTGGAATCCAGGAAGGCTCTTCCCACTTTCCTGACGCCCAATTTGCAGACTATCTAAACCAAAAGGGGCCTGAGAACTCTGCCATCTTCTCTGAAATCAGTTCAGGGTGCTCCGTCCCAGTCCCCGTCTCTTGGTCCAAGCCACCTTCCTCCCTCACCTGGGCTTCAGCCGCCTCCTCCCTGAAATCCTAGTCCCACTTGCTGTTTGTTTATTGGCTTTTCTTCTTCAGACGTAAAGCAAACGATTCAATGGCATTAAGTGCATTCACGATACAACCACCCCCTCCATCGACTTCCAGACATGTTTCGAACTCCAGGAGGAAACCCCTTACCTACTGAGCGATCCCTCCCACTTCCCCTGCACTGCCAACCCGTGATCTGCTCCTGTCTCTAAGGATTCGCCTATTCTGGACATTTCATGTGGACAGAATTAGACAACAGGGGAACTTTCCAGTCTGGCTTTTTGCACTTAGCGCATGTGTCTGAGTTTCACCCATGTCGCCACGTAGATCAATACTTCATGCCCTTGCACTGCTGGATAACTGGATGCCATTTGGATTCCTGACAATGCATTCTCCATTGCTGTATCCTATCCTCCCTGTTACAGCCCTCCAAAGGCTTCCCATATTCCTCTCTTCATTGGTCTACAAAAGCCTCCTAGGATCCGCCTCCACCAACCCCTGACCTCCTGTGTCATCCCCTCATCACTCTCCAACTCCAGGCCACGTAGGCCATATTCCTGGTCCTTGATGATGCCAAGTTCTCATCCACCTCAGGGCCCTCGCACGTGCTGCTCCCGCTGCCTAGGACATTATTCTCTGCCCTGTCAGTGGAGACCTCCTCATCATTCCAAGAGAAGCTGTGCTCAGCTCTCAGAACTCACCGGATCTCCTGGGCACACGTGCTTCCAACACAACCTGCTTTTCCGTCATAGCACACATCCCCGTGTGGTGACCGGAGAAACATCTGACCTCTGCCTGGGCAGGGCCTGTAGTCCCAGACCGCAACAGGAGGCAACTCTTCCCAGCGGCAGGGCCAAGACCAGAAGCCAGATCTGCAGACCTGTGTCCCCGCTAAAGCAGAGCCATCAGGGCCTCCTGCAGCTAGAGGGCGCTCTAAAGGAATGGGGCCCGGTCCCCACCTGCAGGGGCCTGGCCACAGTCAGCCCAGGCCTAGTGGATGGCTCTGCTATCAGAAGGCTCTGGATCAGTGCCCACCCCCAGCCCTCACCACACAGATCACTGAGGCAATTTCCAAACCCATGTGTAGTCTCGGCACCAACTCCTCTTCCCAAAGCTTGCTGGGCGCTGGGTTACACAGAGCTGCTGACTCATTTGGCCTCTTTACCTCCAGCTTCCTCACGCATGGAGTGTGTCCTCTTAAA